CGTCTGTGGCTTAGGCGTTACGAACGCGCTTTATAATGCCGTGGTTCCGGGTTCGATCCCAGCTGCAGCGCCTTACGCTGGTTTCGACTGGGTATCGAGAAGCCGACCGTGGAGCAAGCGATGGCAAACTACTGGACGTAAACTTGCCTGGGTAAACCACAACAGCCAAAAAATGCTGGGGTTTGGTTCTGCAACGTCATGTAAAGGATACACAACTAACTTAGTAGTAGTAGTAGATTTTTACCCCACGAGAACATCACACAAGTGATAAAACCCGATGACACAAAGTGCCACCATGTGGATGAGGATCACCGTGGAGAGGTCCCAGAAACCGCGTACAGCTATTAGACCATATTTATAGTCGGGCTATATTGCGGCCCCTGGCAAAAACTAGAGTAGGGCTTCAAACAACGAAAAAATGCATCTCACAATGAGATGCCTGGATTATATCATAGTATGAGACACAACAAACTTTACTTTATTAGTCTTTTAACACTGGCGGCCGTAACGTATGTTTGAGAATGAACACTGTGTTTTTTTTCCTCGTTTCTACTGGAGCAGTCTTCTTCTTCTTCTTCTTCTTCTTCTTCTTCTTCTTCTTCTTTCTTTTGTCAAAATCTGCTTGTGCCGCTAGGCGTCGCAGTCTATCAGATGATCGGCAACCGAGCCAGGGCGCGCTCAGTCGCTTCATATGCCATAATGTTATGAAGTCTCAAGTTGTCCGTGACCTCTTCAATCCATATTCTTCTTGGTCTTCCCCTGCCTCTTGGTGTTTCGATTTTCATGTTGTATGCTCTTGATGCTGGCATCGTTGGTTCCATTCTCATTAGGTGACCAAACCATTTCATTCTTTGCTTCTCAATAAATTTAACGATGGGTATGGTTCCAATAGTTCTTGTAATCACATCGTTTCTCACTCGATCTCTTCTGGTTTTATTCGCAGCCATTCTCAAACATCTCATTTCACAGGTGGTTAGTCTTCTCTCGTGTTCTTTTGTTAATGTCCAAGTCTGACATTGGTAACCTAATGTCACTCAGCACTCAGCACTCAGCACTGGCGCAGTGATCCGCAATAAATGAACGTGACTGATTCTTAGCCTAGATCACAAAATTTAGCTTTGAAAATTCATAAAAGAAAGACAAAAATAGTTCAGGTCTAGACGACGAATCAACATCAAGGCACAAGGGTGGTAACCCATCAGTACTCCATTCTACTTCTGACTCATGCCTGAGTCCCAAGAATCTCAGCGTAGTGCTCGAACTCCGTAGCACCGGCGACAAATAAAAAGATAAAGATAATGACAATAAACCAGGCGCATAATAATGTGGTTTCTTTTAATGGTGTCCCACTCCAAGATGTGGAGTCGTACACTTCTTTGATCATTATTGTAGACAAAGATTTGGAACTGATAAAGACTGCATGATACGAATACAAAAGACAGGAGGAGCTTTCATAACCCAGGGAAATTTGCAAAGGTCCAAAGATTTTAAACTAATACTAGACTTTAATGTCAAAGAAGTACTGTTGTGTGCAGCGGGAATATGGAGGGCAGCTAAGACAATTACTAATAAACTATAAACATTGATTAACTGGTGTCTGGTCAGAATAGAGGGAATTCAATGTTACGATAGAATCACTCATGTAGAACTTTGGGAGAGAACGAAACACTTTCCAGGGGACCAAGAGGTGAAAAAAAGACGCTGGCGTTGGAAAGAAAACACGTTCAGAAAACATAAGAACAATATAAATAGACTATGTCTTTGCACTGGAACCCACAACAGCATTGAAATAAAGGCTCATTAAAACAGACGCGCAGACACACACACACACCCACACAGAGCTAGAGGGTGGAGGTAGAAAAGATGGAGAGGGCATGGGGAGAACCGCATATCGAATAATAGCGATAGCGAAGGATAACGCGACTTGGCGTGAGTTGGTTGAGAGTACATGCTCCAGTGGGTGCTAGAACGCAGAAGAGAAGGGATTATTAGCCTCTCTTGATCAACTCAAATCACTTCACATTGTAGCTCTTTTCTTCCTAGTTATCCAGTGGGACGCTGGGGTTTTACCACTAGCGGGAAACTGGATAGGACAACAAACTGAGCTTAGTGCATGGTGTGACACTGTGAGCTAAAGTTCTATGCGGAATGCTTTTGGAATGGGCTTCCGGTGATTTGTATTGTCAACTGCATGTTCAAACAATGTCGAATGGCTATCTCCTATACAACTGGTTGTATGCCCTATGCAGTAATGCATGTACACTTGTTGGTTTGTCTTGACTGCTGCTTTCATCAACTGTGAGTTTTAATTCTAATGACAACATGATTAGCTAGCACGTATGGCCGTTGCCTTATGCATTTTATGCGTGTACGAATTGTGTACGTCTGTATTAGCACAGGAACGGAACAATTATAAGGTGCTCCATTTGCCATAGGAAATGTCTTAAAGTTGGACATACCTGAGAAGGTTGGCGCAAAACATACAACTCAGAGCTCAAAAAACAGTCTATGTAAACCTTGTAAAAAAAAACAACAACAACAACTGAACACTGCAGTCCCTGAAACAAACCCGAGGCCTTCAGAAAACAAGGCAAACGAAGCAAGGAGAATCCTAGACTGTAGTCCTTTTTAAATCCCATTTGCAAAAAAGACTTCAGCATGGAAAGTAGTGGCGGTTGTTCTTGTAATACCTCCCCCGGTTGTCTTGTGACGGCTGGTTACGTTTGAAATAAGCCTCGTCACGGTTCTCGATTTCACTCCGAAATGGATTTACTGCAAATATGCTAAAATAATTGCACTCGTATTGATTGCCTTTCATAAATAATGAGATGGACGCTGTATGTGGCAGGTCATGGCATTTTAAAGTGACCAGTTACACACGGTGTGCATTTAGGCATAGGCTAAATAAGCTATAGCTTGGGGCTGCACAAACATCAGGGGCCTCCACAAATTCCTTTTTTTTCGCAAATGCAATTCTCATATTTTTAAAACTGCAACAGGCTTTTAAATAAGCATTATAGATGATTATATCTTCTTCTTCTTTGTTTACAGTCTGTAAGCTCCTACGGAAAGTCCTTGTTCATCCATTTGGACTTTGGTTTTGTGTCAGGGCCTGACTTTTGCGTGTAAATCCGTTTTTCTGGCTTATTTCTGTGCAGTTTATTGTTCCTAACAGCTCGGATATATGCACTCCCACTTCGAAAAAAGCCCCCACACCCCTCCATCACTCACAGCCCCGATTAATCTCAATATGCCTGTTGCAATGTTAGTGGGTCTATCTTTTACCTCAAAATAGGACCATAAAATTAGGTGAGTTGCGTATCCTTTACATGACGTTGCAGAACCAACCTTAACAGGCCCTGGATGTGCAGTTTTTTAGGCAAATTTCGTCCATTAGTTTGCCATTGCTTTCTGGAGGGTTAGCTTTCTTGATACCACTGTTGAAACCAACGCAAGGCGCATGGCCCGCGGCTGGGGTCGAACCTTGCAACCCGGCATTACGAAGGTTCCCATCGACTTAGCCACAGAGCCGACGGACCCTAGAATACACACGGGAAAAAAGACCGTACAATACAATATCTTGATTTTGGAAACATTTTCTTTATGATGTCTTTTACTAAGAATTAAAAACATTACATTTCAGTTATTCATACTTGTATATTTGAAAAGCGTATATAAAATTTTTTTTCAGAATAACTTGGGCAGTTTAAAACGGCAAGTGCCTCAAAGCTTTAAAAAGCTTAGGGCCTCAAAAGTTTATATCGTGCCCCGGCTGTAAGATCGAAGGAATCCCCAATCTTCATACACAGTAGCTAGATCTATATAACGAATGTGAACGCAAAGTGCTTGTTCTGGAATAGGAACAAAGGTCCACAAGTGGACGAACAACCAGAACAGCTTTACCAGCATGAAGCTGAGAGGGATCTCCATGACACCCTATCCGAAATCAGAATAAAAATTGCAGATGTCATCAAGACAAAACAGTGTCTCCTTCACACTGATATGATTAGCTCCCTTTTTTGTATAGACCAATCGGCACAAGATGGGTAATGTGGTCAGCATCACGCCAGCCGCCTTTACTTCCCGGGACCCTATCCGATACCCACTCAAGGCTGGGTTGACCTGGGAGTAAAGGTATTTTTTTTTAAACAGGAGCGAATCCACGACCTTCCGACCCGCACGCAAGCCTCTAGCCTCTACGCCACGGCGACTCCCACCAATTATTGGTGATTATTTAATTTGTATGATTTGATACTTTGATTTATGTGGTTGTTTTTTTCCTCTAAGATCTTGCTAATAATGCTTAGGATTTCGCTTCCCGCCCATCGATTCCAGCCTCGGACACCGCAAACACTTAACTGATGTCCCTACTACTACTATTATTTAGTAGCACCAATTGAATTGAGGTTTGAACAACGGACCATTTTGGACGAACAACCGTGACTTACCGCCGGAATTCACAGCCGGTGAACAAGAAGAAGAAGAAGAACAACGGATCAACATCATGGTACACAGGTAGTCGCCCATAAGTGCTCCGTTTTTCTTCTAACTCAAGTCTGTCCAAAGAAGCTTATCACAGTGCACAGGCTCTGTAGCACCAGCGACAATCCTGAAATACTTTAGGTAGATTTTTAACTCCAAATTTTTCCCGGGCAGCGCCGTTAGGCTACTATTTTCGATTACCAATATTTACGTGCGCAACAATGCACACGGGTGTCCGATCACACTACAGAGAGACCAGGGGGAATTACTAGAAGTCCAAGTCCTCGTGAAAACAATCCTAGCCCTTATCGGGGATTGAACCCGGAACCTCTAGCACTCAAGGAGGATACCATGCCTCGAGATAACCCAACCCCCCTCATCAATTGTAGAAATAATTAAAATAAATATGCTAACTCTATGAATTCAGAAATAAGAATTATGATCCAATCAGAAACAAATCTCTGTAAAAAAAAAATTTATACATACAGAAATCCCTTTATTTAAACCTAATATATTACTTAAGCAACTAGAGCCACATAAATGTTGACATAACTAAACAATACACCAAGAACTGTACAGTACACCGGAGCCGTCGTGATGTAGCGGCTAGGCGCTTGCATGCGGATCCGAGGGATGTTGGTCAAGTCTGGCAGAGCCGGACTTTGTTGTGATAATACTGGATTTATATGTCGTAATATTAGTGGATTTATATGTCGTGGTATTAGTGGATTTATATGTCGTGGTATTAGTGGATATATATGTCGTGATATTAGTGGATTTATATGTCGTGATATTAGTGGATTTATAAGTCGTGATATTAGTGGATTTATATGTCGTGATATTAGTGGATGTATATGTCGTGATATTAGTGGATTTATATGTCGTGATATTAATGGATTTATGTGTCGTGATAATAATAGTTTTATATGTCGTGACATGGTGGATTTATATGTCATGATATTAGTGGATTTATATGTCGTAATATTAGTGGATTTATCTGTCGTGATATTAGTGGATTTATATGTCGTGATATTAGTGGATTTATATGTCGTGATATTAATAGATTTATGTGTCATGATATTAATAGATTTATGTGTCTTGATTGTTGCACAATTTCTTCTAAAAAATTCAACACTAGCGTGTTAGGGTGGGTCGTTTAACTGGCTTGCATAGATTTATAATCGTGGATTGTGCGCATAATTTATCTGGAAAGCTTAGTCATATAGCTATGGGTTTCTGTGGGTGATTTATCTAGCTAGCTTATAGGCATAGTTGGGTTTCTGTGTGTTATTTATCTAGCTAGCGTGCATACATAGTTGGGTTTCTGTGGGTGATTTATCTAGCCAGCGTGTATACATAGTTGGGTTTCTGTGGGTGATTTATCAAGCTAGCGTGTATACATAGTTGGAGTATGTGGGTGATTTATATCGCTTGTATGTATATATATATATATATATATATATATATATATATATATATATATATATATATATATATATATATATATATATGATCGTGTGTTTGTGTGGGTTGTTTATCTGGATAGCGTTGAGACACATAGATGTAGGTTTATGTGGGTGATTTATCTGTCTAGCGTGGACATGTATTTGCGTGTCTGTTTAGCTTGGACATGTATTTGCGTGTCTGTTTAGCTTGGACGTGTATTTGCGTGTCTGTCTAGAGTGGATTTATAACAATGGATTCACGTGGTTGATTTGTCTGCCTTGGTGACGATGGACACGACAGTGAGAAATACAGACAGAGAAACAGACTGGATAGATGACAGACAGACAGACTGAGACAATATCACACTCAGACACACACACACACACAATCACGCATACACAGAGAGAGGGTAGAAAGGTGGAGAGAAAGAGAGAAAAAGAGTCAGATAGACTAATAATCAGACACCGAGACAGACAAACAAAAGTTAGACAGACAGACAGACAGAGAACAGAGCGACAAAAGTGTAAGCGGACAAAAGTAGACAACAAATCGTTTTGTCATAAAATAAAACAGTGAACACATCTACACCTTAAAAGTCATGCACATATTAGTTATAACAATAAAACGCCATTCTTTGTAATAATACTTACATAAATTGAATGCCCCGAAACTTATCCAAACCACAACACTCCAGAATCACAGCCGATATCTCAGTTCTGTCCACATTCCATGGCTCTAGCTTCAAGTAAATGGCGAGCATTGCTAACAATGACACATTATTCCGTTGAGGAGTTTGCTTAAAGTGGAAATACGAGTAAATCTTCAATGATGCTCTGTCAGAATTAGAAGGTGAAGAGGTACAATCTCTATATCCCTGTAGAGTATAACGTGTATTTTGCTTAGCGAGTTCTCTGATCTATAGGTCTTTCGACTACTCACTATCGGTATCAATCAGTCTCTCTTGTAATACTTCTCACAAATATCAGAAAATGTAGGCTGAGAAGCCACCAAATCAACAACTTTGAGAATTCTTGTGAAGCTATTCGTCAGCCACACACAAACAGGCGCACTTTGGCAGATAACCGGAAATCTGAAAAGCCAAAAACAAATATTTGGTTGAAACATTAACACTAACCTGCAGGCTTAAACAAATACAATACATGCCGTATCTGCAACAAAGTGATTATCCCTACACCAATAGACGATCTAAAGTAAACACGACTGACAACGCGACTACACGATCAATCAATCGCATAAACCTACCCACAGACACACTGTGGAGTATTTGTTTAGCTGCTACGGGAGATGTAGATTAATGGGCCAGATCGATAACTCAAATAAATGACGTGGGATCGATCCGTATGCTTTAATAATAAGATTGTTAATAAGTGGAATACGAGAAATGTTCTTTTATCGAACTTGTTTGCTGTTGGTTCAGCAAATATTCGTTGACTTTAGAGGAATCTACGGTAACGTTGTGTGAGTCTCCTGGGGCTTTGTATGATCTCGCTTGTGTTCCTTCTAGTCTAGACTAACGGACAGAAACAGTCATTGTACAGATAACAGTACGGCTGAAAGGACAGCTGATTGTTTTATGCTGGCTGACCCAAAGGCGAGTATACAGACAGACACTTTTATTGACATAAGTGCAGATATACATAGAGATATATACAGATTCTAGGACACACAATCAACCTATCAAAGGATAGGTGGATGGACATACACACAGACAGATGATCAGAAAGACAGTCGGCAGGGTTTCATGGCCTGGTGCGTGGACATAGTCAGTCGGTCGACAGACAGAAATATAGACATACATATAGACAGACAGGCGGACAACAGACACATAAGTAGACAGACAGACAGACGAACGGACGGATGAACGAACGATGGATTGACGGATGGATGGGTGAATGGATTGATAGACAGATAGATAGATAGATAGATAGATAGATAGATAGATAGATAGATAGATAGATAGATAGATAGATTAGATAGATAGATAGATAGATAGATAGATAGATAGATAGATAGATAGATAGATAGATAGATAGATAGATAGATAGATAGATAGATAGATAGATAGATAGATAGATAGATAGATAGATAGATAGATAGATAGATAGATAGATAGATAGATAGATAGATAGATAGATAGATAGATAGATAGATATAGATAGATAGATAGATAGATAGATAGATAGATAGATAGATAGATAGATAGATAGATAGATAGATAGATAGATAGATAGATAGATAGATAGATAGATAGATAGATAGATAGATAGATAGATAGATAGATAGATAGATAGATAGATAGATAGATAGATAGATAGAGATAGATAGATAGATAGATAGATAGATAGATAGATAGATAGATAGATAGATAGATAGATAGATAGATAGATAGATAGATAGATAGATAGATAGATAGATAGATAGATAGATAGATAATAGATAGATAGATAATAGATAGATAGATAGATAGATAGATAGATAGATAGATAGATAGATAGATAGATAGATAGATAGATAGATAGATAGATAGATAGATAGATAGATAGATAGATAGATAGATAGATAGATAGATAGATAGATAGATAGATAGATAGATAGACATAAAATAGACAAAAAATAGACAGGCGGAAAGATAGGAAAGCACAGAGATGATCACACTGATAATTAGACTTCACGCTAATGAATTATTCCTGCGCTCTTTCATTAGCACTGACTAGACAAGACTACGGGAAGACCCACAAGAGTACACTCTCTTGGTGATTTCCATAAACAGAAACAGCACTAGAGAACTGAGTTCCCGCGGGAAGTCATTAGAATTCTCAAGTTCCGTAAGTATTTCAAGACAGCTGATGTCGCTTTTCTATGAGGGCCCATTTTTGTGCCACAAGCCCCAGGATCGTTAATGTTGTTGCAGCCCATCGCTACTGACTGTATGCAGCTCGTGGTACTCTTGATCTTCACAGGGTATGGGGGTATACCACAAACCAGATAAACTGGGATAGGTGAAGTAGCAGCTGTGCATGACTCTAGTTTATTGTATGCGCTAAGATTGATTATCCCTTTGATCGCTTGCACCTTACAATATCAAGGTGAAGTATAATTTACGGGAAAGTTCCCTTTTGTACGCTTCGTAAATATTGATTTCTAAAGACTCTGTTATTCCCTCTGACAATATTTTGCATGGTGAGCCTCTTCTTCGCTTCCCGTCTGTTGTGTGCATCATTACTTGCAGTGGTATACAGTTTGTTAACATCCGCGTTATATGACCAATCCATTTCACTAACGATATTTCAAAATTCCAACGGCGATGAACGAGTCGAATTTAATATCAATCCCTCTAAGTGAGTGAGATTCAACTCCATCTGTCGACAAATTACCAGCCAAGTAACCAACCAAACATCATCATCATTAGGCGCCTTGCCGACTGGCGTGGGCGATCATGCCTTTCCATAATCTGCGATCTCCTGCAACATGGATTAGTTCGTGTGCTGACACACCTCCATGCCATGCAACAAACTAAATAACATTCCTAGACTAGGAGAAGCCATTCAATCGAGTCGATATACAAGTATTATGGAAAATAATAGCTGGATATAGAGTAAGGGAACCGCACACTGAAGTGTGCTGCAGTTTGTAAAAGGATTTTAGAAGCGTAATTAGACAAATCATGGACGTATCAAAACCATTTATAGTAATATCTGGAACAATACTCTACCCGTTGATTTCACTTCACAGCATAACGTGCTCTCCTAAATTTTATATTTAGTCAGAACATACTTGAAAAGGCTGGCCCCTTAAATGGTTACTATCAATTTCAATGTAATTAATTCATTATGCCCCCCCCCCCCACCCCCTCTTTTTTCCGTATGTTTATTTCACGTGTGTCCTGTTAAACCTTCAAGTACAGAACATGGAAAGTGCAGCTACCACAAACTGTGCAATTTAGGAATTTTATTTTTGCCCCTTACCTCCCCCCTTCCACAGAAAAAAATGCATATCAATAGGAATCAATCCTGGGTCTCCCGTATGAGAGCCCAGCCCTCTGTCCACTCTGCCAGCCTCGACTCGATACAAGGTTAGTCATTAGCAAACAAACCAACCCACTTTGTTAGGCCCAGACAGTATTAAATGTTGAATGTTGAGTCAAGAATCGACATCACAGCACTCGTGACACCCTCATAGCCGCCCCGTCACCATCTTTAGCAGCAAGCGAAGAGTTCTAATGGCACCAGTAACTGTTTGATTGTATATCCGTCTCTCCCTGCCCTTAAGTGTTGAGCGTCGGTCAGATCCCCTGGAAACTCCCCGTAGCGCCATTCTCCTCAGACCGTAATTATCCATATGTGACTACGCATTGTTCACTCGTTCTCAAAGGGCCCTCACAACATCTAGCTTGTCATATATCAGTTAACCACCAAGTGGTGTAGAACCGACCAGTCATTCTGCCTGCTCATTTTCCAGCACACCGGTATAACCTGGAAAAAAAATCCAA